GGTCTAGCTGCAGAAACAGACGCCGTGTTTAGATGGAGTCCGTCTGCTCTCTGGTTGTCATGACGACCGTCTGGGTCAGGTTTTGATGATCCTGGACGGCCCGTCTGCCTCGGTCTTGCACAGTAGAGGTGTGACCAACGTCTGACCCAACATATTTTGACGTTTCTGTTTCCTTTAGCTCCTTTTGTCAAATTTCCCGTCATTTTAGTCGTTCTTCAGCAGCCTGAGGAACACATCTGTTATCTGACCAATCAAACTGCAGAATAAAGTAGCAGCAGAAACTAAGGATACATTTCTCAGATTAACCTGTAGACCCAGAGTCGGTCTGATGGACAGCAGACAGGAATGGATCAGATAAACAATAATTATCAACTCTGCTGGGTCTAGCCCCTCCATAGCCTATAGGGAATCATTTCCAGAATTATCAAATTCATTTTTCTAGTCACCTAAAAGTGAGTAAATGTTTAATTTCAGGTTCTGATGAAAGACATCAGCACAGCTGCTCCATCAGAGGAGGCAAAGAGACGCGTCCAGAGATGTTTGGAGAAGGCTGCTCAGATCAACTACAGTCAGCTGATGGATTACGCTCAGATCCACGGTGGGAAACCTTCAAGCTGCTTCTTCTGCTCACATCTCATCTGTTTTCACCACCAGAGTCTTTTTATCCACAGTTTTAACCCGGTTCCAGTTTAGGGACTTCTCTCCATCACTGTCAGATGGATCAGTTTACAGCTTTACGCAAACAATACATCTACTTATGCTTTAAAATGAGTTTGTCCTTCAGAAAATCTTTCAATTGTATTTTATAGATTTTAGATATAATATTCAGGATGTAAAAACTGGTCAAATTCTTCCTGTTTGTCCCCCCTGAGAGCAAAGGTTTGCTGCAGTGAGACCCTGGTTCCTAAAATAACGATCTAACAGCTTCTCTCTCTGGTTCTGAACCTCAGTGGATCCAGAAGAAGCTCCGGAGAAAAGACTGGAGGACATGCTGAGGCTGGGCGAACTGTGCATCGAAGTCCTGCAGCAGAATGAGGAGCATCATGCTGAGGTGTTCTTAACTACTTTCCTCTTGGGAGAAAAAAAACACATACATAAAGATAAATAAAATAAAACAGTAATATAGATATAAACCATGTAGAGCTGATGTAGAATGGGCTCTGTAGGTGGATCGCAGGAGCTTTCAGGCAGGAAAAGCTGAATAACGGCCTACAACGACTTACTGGAAGGGTAAAGTAGATCTGGAGCATTTCAAAATAAGATGCAGGGCTGTTTTGACGGAGCAGGATCAGAAGTGAGTCTGTGTGAAGCTGCACAAAGATTCTGTCTTTTCTGGCAAAAAAGCATTTTCACTTCATAACTGGTGAAACTTTCCAGCTCAGAAACGTCCTGCTTTCATTCCTCAACAGATAAAAGTTCCTTTAGTTAAAGAAGGAAAGCCAAACTGAGCTTAAAGTGCAACAGCACTTGGGAGGGAAGGACTGATGGTGTTCCAGGAGGCCATGTTTTCTATCTGCTAACAGGAGCCTGAAACATGGAGTCTAAGGACGCTGCTCTGTCCTTAGAGGATCATGGGGTCATCGGTTCCTGTCAGGAATCCTGCTCTGCACAGGTGTGACCTGCTGTTTGACAGGCTGTCTGACTCCTGTCGGCGTGCAGCAGGTACAGCTCGGCTCTGAAAGGATCTCTTACCTTGGAAATCATTTGCAGCAGAAACTCTGTGGTGTTTTTTTTTCCTTTCTTTTTCTAGCAGCAGCAATAAAAGTGGCACGACTCACTTAATCATTTCATTTATGTTCCTGATTGCTTTTCACGGCGCCACCCGTCTCGTTTCCATTTGGCAGCGCTCGCCTTAAAGTGGCAGATGACACAACAAGTGGCGGCTCTGCATTAACGGCTGCAGCGGAGACACGATGAAAACAACGCCTACGGCCCATATGCGCCCCCATACGGATGCCAGAGTGTAGAACTGATCAATCATAGGTGTTAGGATGCGCTGGTTCCATCGGCCCTTCGTGGCAGCGTGGCGCTCAGGCATCTGTTTCTGCACTATTAATATCAGACCATGCTCCACCGCTGCCATGGCAACCAGAGGCTCTCTCTCCTAATCGGTAGAAGTTATGTTAACTTCAAATTACTCGCATGCTGTCAGAGATCTGCCATAGAGCTGCCATGGCTTATGTTTAAAGATCAGAACTGTTTATGTGGGTGAAGTGGTTGTCAAGGAGACGTTTGCTGAATCCCCAGCTTTGGTCCTTCTTCCTCACCTGGATGTCATCGGTTTAGTTCAGGTGCTGATTTTATGGTTTCATAGAGCTTTATAGATCCTATGTTTGAAAAAAAACTAAGAAATGTTGGGTTAGAAGATGCTACTAACCTGGAGGATGAGGTCAAAGTTCAGCAGCGCTGCTAACCTGGATTTTTGGCTGCAGAGTTTCTCCAGCTTGTTGACCTCCCCTGCTTCTCCGATGAATCCCAGATGGACATTTCACTCAAAACCAGGTCTTTATCCATGAGGCTCCTGATGCACTGGATAAATTAAGTTTATTTACACTTAATTTGAGTTGGTAAATGAGATAGTTTGCCAATGGAATGAGTATTTTTACTCTTAGAATAAAAAATAATACAACAGCAGTGTTTTTTCCTATTTTAAATGTAAATTGTCTCGTTCCATTGGCAAAATGTCTCACTTTCCTCTAGCCTAGTGAACTAGCCCCACCCGCCAGCGGCCAAAATCATTTTTGCCTGCGATTGATCTAGGCTGAATCAATGCCTCAGGCCCTAGAACTGGCGGGCCAATCACAACGCAGAGATGTGTTTTGAATGTTTGGATGCAAAGCGGGCGGGGTTTTGAGTACGTGACGACAAAGCTGCGCGACGCTGGAGAAAGCACAACAAGGAAGAGGTCAACAACTATTGAACAGTTCTGGTTTGACTCAGCTTTGGAATCAGTTTTGGAAGGATCAGACTTTGGGTTTTCGTTGAAACGTGAGCAGGAAGAGGCTCTATGCGCATTCATTTTTGAGAAGGACGTATTCACCGTTTTACCAACAGGCTGTTTGTTTCCACTCCCCCACCAGCTTTCCGTCGCGCTTCCTACGTCACAGTCAGTTGCCCTCATTGGTCAGAGCGTTGGTCAATAGGCACAGACATAGTTTGAAAAACAACGCGTTGTTCTCATCAACAATCTTCCGATGTCTCATTCATCAGGGCCAGACTAAATTACACATTTAATCTCACATTTAGTCTGGTCAAGTCAAAAAAAAATGACTTAGACTTTTTGGAGCAGACCCACCTGACCGACACCTGTGAACATCCAGACTCCTCTAAAGATCTGGGTGTTCATCAAAACCGTGAACTGGACTGAACCAGAACACCGATGCCCTTTACAGAACATGAGATCTTCTGGACTGCAGGGGGAGCTCCTGAACACCTTCGACTCCTGGATGGAGCCGCACCCTCAGGGACACACTGACGCATCATCTCAGATCCTTCCTCCCTGGGCTGTTTACTTTCTAGCATCACTGCTGCTCTTTCAGAGTTTTATTATTGGCACTATTCTGTTGTTTTTAATGAAGAAATCCCTTTCCTCCTGTAGCTCCTTTAGCTCAATTAGACTTAGAGATAGCTTAGTGTCATCTTGTATACACTGAATGTATACAAAAGGAAATTTGGATGCATACAGCTTTCATCGGCGAATGAGCAGCTTAGCAGTGAAATGAAGTGCAACAGTGATCAGAATGTTAACAGTGTAGGAGAAAAGGTAAACTAGTTTAAAGGTAGTTTAAATGGTGCAAAAGGCATTGATATGGAAGGTTTAGTGCAGTGCGCTGGGGTCGCCGGCGAACCGTTTTAAAGCGTTTAAAACTAATAGCTCAGGATGCATGAACATTGTTAGACATCGTTAGAAAGCTTGGAATCTCCACAATTCAACCACATAGTTGATCTTATGGACACAGTGAGCACCAAAGCACAATGAACACAGATATAGCAGCATGTCAAAATGTAAACATGACAAGGCAGCCACAACAAGCAAGCATGTCTTTATTACTGCTGTGCAATAAATGCCTATTTTTGAGAATAAAAAGAACACCTTTGAGTCATGTTTGAAACGATGCAGCTTGGGTTATGTTCTACTCACCCAGTTATATATATATATATATATATATTAAGAGACTAGAAGGTGTTAGCTTTCAAATAATGTATCACACATGTCATTTGAGCTTACAGTTCCTCGGTTATTTGCTTTTTCATTTGGGTTTGCAAAATAGGTGAATTTCCAGAAATGAGGTGGCTGTTAATAGGTTTAAGTGATAATGAAAAACATCAGCCTTTTGGTAAAGCAAATATGATGTCATCAGTGTGATGCAGATTTTGATTAAGAGTTTCAACAGTTCAGCAGTCTAATGGCGGTGGGGAAGAAGCTGTTGCAGAATCTGCTTCTGAGCCCCCTGGTGTGGAACAGCTTTCACTGCTGGAGGCTGTTTAGTGCCTCAAACCTTCCAAACAAGTTGTTCAGTTAATTTAGGAAGTCAGTGTTTGCTGTATCTACCGGGGGGGAGGGTGTGTTGTAGTCTGTGATCATCCCAATGCCTTTCCACATCCTCCTGGTGTTGCTGTTGTCATGGAAAAGATCCTGGATCTTCTGGCTGTGCTTCTGCTTCGCTGATCTGATGGCACGGTTTAAGTTGGCTCACGCTGTTCTTAGTGCCTCTTTATCACCAGACTTGAAAGCTGAGTTCGGTGCTTTTAGCGATTTCTGAACCCGTCCATTTATCCAGGGTGGTTGATTTCCCGGATGGTGATGTTCTTTGTGACGCTGACGTCCTCATTCATTTGTTAATGCAGGCTGAAACAGTCATGGCATACTCATCTATAGCGATCTTGTTGTGACTGTGTCACATTAGCTCCTTCAGCTTATTAGCTCCTTTAGCTCATTAGCTTCTTTACCTAATTAACTCCTTCAGCTTATTAGTTTCTTTACCGCATTAGCTTCTTTAGCTCATTAGCTCCTCTAACTCCTTTAGCTCCTTTAGTTTCTTTAGCTCATTAGCTCCTTTAGCTCCATTATCTGCTTTAACTTCTTTAGCTCGTTTACCTCTTTAGCTCATGTCTTTTAGCTCCTTCAGCTCATTAGCTCCATTTGCTCCTTTAGCTCATTATCTCCTTTAGCTCATTACCTGCTTTTGCTCTTTTAGCTGCTTTAGCTCCTTTAGCTCAGTATCTCTTTAGCTCATTAGCTGCTTTAGTTGCTTTAGCTCATTAGCTCCTTTACCTCATTAGCTGCTTTAGATCCTTTAGCTCCATTAGCTCCTTTAGCTCATTTAGCTCCATTAGCTCCTTTAGCTCAGTAGCTCCTTTAGCTCATTTAGCTCCATTAGCTCCTTTAGCTCAGTATCTCCTTTAGCTCATTAGCTGCTTTAGCTCCTTTAGCTCACTATCTCCTTTAGCTCATTAGCTGCATTAGCTCATTAGCTCCTTTAGCTCATTAGCTCCTTTAGCTCATCAGCTGCTTTAGCTCCGTTAGTTGCTTTAGCTCATTAGCTCCTTTAGCTCTATTAGCTCCTTTAGCTCAGTATCTTCTTTAGCTCATTAGCTGCTTTAGCTCCTTTAGCTCATTAGCTCCATTAGCTCCTTTAGCTCACTATCTCATTTAGCTCATTAGCGGCTTTAGCTCATCAGCTCCTTTAGCTCAGTATCTCCTTTAGCTCAATATCTCCTTTAGCTCATTAGCAGCTTTAGCTCATTAGCTCCTTTAGCCCAGTAGCTCCTTTAGCTCATCAGCTGCTTTAGCTCCGTTAGTTGCTTTAGCTCCGTTAGTTGCTTTAGCTCTATTAGCTCCTTTAGCTAAGTATCTCCTTTAGCTCATTAGCTGCTTTAGCTCCTTTAGCTCATTAGCTCCATTAGCTCCTTTAGCTCACTATCTCCTTTAGCTCATTAGCGGCTTTAGCTCATTAGCCCCTTTAGCTCAGTATTTCCGTTAGCTCATTAGCTGATTTAGCTCATTAGCTCCTTTAGCTCATTAGCTCCTTCAGCTCAGTATCTCCTTTAGCTCATTAGCTCCTTCAGCTCAGTATCTCCTTTAGCTCATCAGCTGCTTTAGCTCCTTTAGCTCCTTTAGCTGCTTTAGCTCATTAGCACAAATTGCTCATTTAGTTAGAGGTTCAAATCTGTACAGTATGTTGTCTTCCATTGTCTCTACTCAAACATCTCTGATTCCTTTATAATCTCAGTTAAGCTGAATTAATAAAGCTTTTAAAAGCTGAAAGTATTCTGGACTGTTGCTTTAGTCTTACAGGAAATTGAAAATGTTGCTTTTTTGTCTCAGATACCTGATCTGACCCTTTAGGCCACTGAGGATGAAGTTATTTAGGGAAGGTCAGGTTCATCTGCTTTTTTAATCTTTCCATCTTTTTTCCTTGCTGCTCTGTGAAGGGGAGAGAGGTAAGTTCATCATCTCCATCCTGCCTTTTGTTCTTTCATGTCACTAAACCGCCCAGTTTCTCAGATTTCTCCAAACATTTATATTAGTTCATAAATCCCAGTGTTTTTACAGTTATTTGAAGTGATTTAGTAATTAGCTTTATGCTCATCTTTGAAATGTCATTAAAGAAGTGAATGTTGGCCCTGGAGGAATCTTGTCCTTGGGAGGAATACAAACACATTAGCTCTTTCAGAGCAGTTTTCTAATCCCCTCGAAGTCAGGAAACCTTTTGCTTTGTTGGAGAAATCAACCATTCATTCATTTCATCTTTTCTTTCTCGGCCTCGTCTGGAAGTCATCGTCTCTCTTCTAACACTGTTCCTTTTATTCTGGGGTTTCATATTGTCCCTCTGTGATGTTTCCATTTTTTCTTCTCTTTACAATTTCTCTCTGTTCTTTTCTGAGATATATTTGTTAAATCTTTCTATATTTTCTCCCTTTTTTTAAACTTTACAATTTCTCAGATTTCTAGTTTTTACCTTTTGTGTGAAAAACAAGCGTCACTTTGATAATAGAACAAACCAGGGTGTGGGAAAAAAATACTTTTAACAGGAATAAAAAAGGAAGCAAATTACCTTTCTTTAATTGACTTTTTGAAGAGTTTGGATTTATTGGTAACCTACCATCTTTGTGTCTCCTTAAAAACACCATACTGACCAAAGGAACTTCAGAACCAGCTTGGTAGGACAGTTCCACCAATAAGAGCATCAACAGGATGGATCTTATCTGAGACCAGGCTGCAGGTTTATCCTCCACTAATCATCCAACAAGAGATGCAATGGATGGATTCCTAGCTTAGAATGGCCTAGTCATTGTCCTAATCTAAGGCAGTTTCTCAATCTGTGTACTTGTGCGTTCTCGTGTCCTCGTGAAACGTCATCAGCCTCAGCCCTAGTGCTGTTCCAATTCAAAAGAACAGCAGAACGAGATCAGACAAAGTCACCGGATGTAGTTCTGGCCCCTCCCTCTTTACCCAGCATGCATCAGAGCAGACTTGTCCATTCTCCAGACTGACAGCTGTCCCAGCATGCACTGCGGCAGCAGCAACTTCCAGTTATCTTTTCTGTTGTTGTTGCTCTGTAAAAGTACGGTTTAAGTTTATTTGAAGAGGAAACATTATACTTTAAGCTTCGTCTGCAGCAGCCAGGGCTATCGTTAGCCCGTGTGCAGCGGCCAGGGCTAACGATAGGCCCGTCTGCAGCGGCCAGGGCTAACGATAGGCCCGTCTGCAGCGGCCAGGGCTAACGATAGGCCCGTCTGCAGCGGCCAGGGCTAACGTTAGCCCGTCTGCTGCGGCCAGGGCTAATGTTAGCCTGTCTGCAGTGGCCAGGGCTAATGTTAGCCCCTCTGCAGCGGTCAGGGCTAATGTTAGCCCGTCTGCAGCGGTCAGGGCTTACGTTAGCCCGTCTGCAGCCATCAGGGCTAACGTTAGCCCGTCTGCAGCGGCCAGGGCTAACGTTAGGCTGTCTGCAGCGGTCAGGGCTAACGTTAGGCTGTCTGCAGCGGGCAGGGCTAACGTTAGCCCGTCTGCAGCGGTCAGGGCTAACGTTAGCCCGTCTGCAGCGGCCAGGGCTAACGTTAGCCCGTCTGCAGCGGCCAGGGCTAATGTTAGCCCGTCTGCAGCGGCCAGATAGTTCTCATGGCAGGTTTTTGTTTTATTTTGGCTAAATGTTAATTTGATTTGTGTTTATCTGACTGCGTTCATTATTATTCCCCCAGTAAATGAAAAAAGTCATATTGTATTATCTAGAGACTATTAATAACAGGAGGTGAAATGCAGCTCCAGACGAGTAGAGTGTGTGGTGATCATCAGTACACATCTGTACTTATGTACATACTTGGTGAGGACACAAGACCGTACTCACGTTACCTAAATCTTTGTAGAAATGATCAACATTTTCATCTAGTCTTCAGCAGTTACTGGAGCTCAAGATTAGGGCTGTGATTTTTATTTTATTTTAGAAGGAAACGTATTTCCTCTGAACCCCAAATAATGCGGCGACAGTCAGAGTTAATGTTTCTGAAGGCGACTAAACCGTTCAGTTAATGAGGTTGAAGGTTGAGGTTCAGAATGCACTGAATAAATGGAGAAAAATCCGGCTCATAGGGTCAGCGAGCATTCAGCCGCTGATGGAGCATCATCCTTTACATTTACATAAAATAGACGTTTTCCCTGAAAGGTGTCAGAAGTCTCTTTGCCGTTTCGAGCTGCGTCTTAAAAGAGGTTGATGTTTCAGTAAAATGTTTCTTTAAAAACATCTAAATGAAGGAGGCTTCTTCTCTGGCTCCCGCCGCCAGCGGCTCAGGTGAAAGCAGTTTGCAGATGCTGTTGTGAAAGTACTTGTTGATGCCATTTTTCTAAAGAACATGGAGGGTAATGTGGTTCTCCGGCTGACCCAGGTCAGCCTGCTCAAGCGACCTGTGCCTCTGAGAGCTAAAGGACGTCTAAGAGAAAAGTGCAACCAGCATTCAGCCGCGCTGCGGCCCAGAGGTCAGTTTGTCTCTTTGATGAAGGGAGAAAATGAAGCGGAGATGTGAGGCAGAGGGATGAGTGGCAGCGGCGCCTGCTGCTCGTGGCCTTGAAGGATGAATCAGTCGGCCTTTTAAACGCACCTTTTCAGTCTCTACTTCTGTCAACAAACTAACCTGATGATCCTTCGATCCTCAAAGCTGTTCATTTTCAAAACATCCATCTAAGCCTCAGCAGCTTGGAAACATGCAGACGAGTAAACAAACAGACAATATGGATGCATTTAGTGTTAAACTGTCACGCATCCTCACCATCTGATGTCCTTCTCTGCTTCTCTTCAGGCTTTCTCCTGGTGGCCAGAGCTGATGGCCGAACACGCCGAGACATTTCTGTCTCTGTACGGAGCCCACATGGATTCTGCTCTGCAGGTGCAGCCGGTCGATTCCTGGAACAGCTTCCCTGTATTTCAGCTCCTCAACAACTTCCTCCGCTCAGATCGTAAGTGTGTGGGTGTGTTGGGGGGGATCCGTCAATTAAATCTATTCTATTCTATTCAGTTTATTTCTATAGCTCCAATTCACATCACATCATCTCAAGGCAATTTACAGTTCAACCAGATCATCCAGTCAGATTGATTCAAAGTTTTCTATCTAAGGAAAACCAG